AAAAAAAAAGAAAGCTCTGGACACCTTTAATAAGCTCGCCACTGTTTTTTGTAGTGTAGACAAGTTAATGGTCATTTATTGTGTACTATTCATTGATTCAGTGATGTGAAATTGAGCCCCCAAAAGGTTGTTTCCAAAGCTCAAGTACTTTCCAATGCCGCTACTTTGCTGTGGACACCCCTGCTTTAAAAACCCTTTTGCTAGCTGTGCTATTGTTGTATTTGATATTGCAAATTGCTATGTGTGTGGTGATGGCAAAAGGCTTTTAAAGGTTGGTGTTTTCTTTTTCTTAAAAAAATAATAAAACTACAGACAAAAACAAAGTGCAAACAACTGAGACAGCAAATGAATGAGCAACACCACTCATATAGATTGAGTACTTGGAGGATACTCATGTTTTTTAACCCATGTAGTGATTGCTCACCACCTTGCAAAGTATTTTTCCTGCCTTTCAGTGGTCTGCCCAGGTCCATGATAGATCATAGCAGAAAGTCATTTTTGGATAGGCTGCTATCTAATTTGTAGTTGTCAGAAATACTGTGCTAAAAGTTTTATGACATTCATCTTTTAAATTTTCAGGCCCTGAACAGGAAAGTTGCTCCTGAAGTTATGTTTCCAGGCTTAGAATTCCCTCTCTCCTATCATCTAAAACTGAAAATGACTGAATCTATTTTAAGATCTAAATTAGCATCTCTTCAGACACACACTTCCTGATTCAGTGTTTCCCAATCATGATTAGAATTAGACTGCAAAGCACGTCATGGGCTGGAATTGAGAACTCCATGTTGCTCTGTATCTTAGGCTTATACATAGGGATAGAGTAAGCAGTACAAAGTGTACATATTGGAAAAGACAGGTAACAGGTAACAGCATCGCTAATCCAATTACTGTGCCTTCTAAATGGAGACACTCAGACACTTGAACTCGTCTTTTTATAACTAATACTTTTTTGATTAAAAATGTGAACATGAAAATATTAAAAATTCCTTAGATTTAGCTAACTCTTTTTGCTGTAGGCTACCAATACACCCTTTTTAAATTAACAAACTTTACATCCTTTTTTTCCATTTTAACATTCCTTTAGCTCCCTCATTTATCTTTTGTCTATTAATATTCGCTACCCAACATAGTATTTTTGCAGCCTAAGAATTCATTATTTAAAAATAAACTAAAGAAATATGTCACCTTTGTTCTGCCTTGGTCTTAAGAGAGTTGTTTCTAGAGAAACAAGTTTTATGGTTCTGTTTTCATTCGTTTCATTTTTTGAAATTCAAGAGTACACAGAAAGAAGGCCTAGAGGTTAGAGCACTAGAATGCAAAAGAGGATTTATTTTCTTAAGTTTAGATAGATAAGTCAGCTCTTTTGAATGTTTTACTTATTTTTGCCTGAGTTCCTAGCTTTACACATTACTAGGAATATGTTCTTTTATGGGAGGGAGAAGGGTTTTGAGGGAGGGGGTGGGTAAGGCAGTAGGCATGGGGTTAGGTAGGGGAGAACATTTCTGAAAAAGAACCTATAATGAAGCTACATATCCATCCTTATTTCTTATTCAGTGCTGCATACTACCTCATGCAAAATATTGGTGTGGCTGCAAATTTCCCTCTGAAACTGACACAATTAAGGATGAATTATCATAGCATCTTCATTTTTCCTCATTCCATTGCCTCTCATACAGTTTTCTCCCTTTGATTTATTTCATTTTGGTAGTAAATTTTAAATTATTTATTTTTCTTTGCAAGTGACTATTTGAGTAACACATTAAAAATTTAAAAATATTCCCTTTAAGTTATGATGACTGCCTATAAAATTTAGACTGTTTCTCACCCTGATCCATCCTGATATTATGTTATTAGCAGCCATTTCAAGGTCACTTTGAAGTCAGACTTCACAGTTCTCTACAGGTGTATTTCTTGCTATGCTCAGTGGGAACGAGGGAGCAGAAAAGATTGTCAAAAGTGGGAACATTGAATGTCACGTGGCTGTTAAGCCAGATAGGCCACTGGTTGCCATGACTCTTATCATCCAAGTTTTAAATGGTTAGAGTGGCATTGGCATTGGCTTTGCTTTTCTCTTCGGTTTTCTTAATTTCTTTTACCAATTAATCTTCAAGCTATAGATCCATTGTCTTTCCTTATCCAAATACTTTGTTCTCAGTGGGCAGTCAGAGTTTTTTGGCTTCCAAGCCTCACTGAGCATGTTCAGAGAATTCCTCTTATTAAGGCAATACTTTCCCCACAATTGTCTAATGTATGAGTCCTCTCAGAAGCACAAGTGTATCCTGGGAAGGCTTTATAAGCTGGTTTTGTAGACAGGCTGTACCTGCAAATAGGCATTCTGAGCAAGGATCCTAAATTTCCCTTTGGCTCATGTTCCCTTCCCCCCTGCCGCACCCCACCTTCTCCTTTTTGGAATGTCTGGTGAAAAGCTACAAGGTCCACAGGGCTAAATATTCTTCCTTTTCCTTCTCTAAACATGTTCCACACTTAAGGGAGCAATTTCGGCTCCTAAGTCCTAGGGAGTTCTATTCCATTTATTCTGATGTCCCTTTTAAGGAGGAGTTGGTGTTGAAGTGTGGCATGCTTTAATAACAACTGCTTTGGCAATTCCCCAGACAGGTGAACTACTTCTTTCAATATAAGGAGTCTAGTTTACATTGACTGATTGCTTTTCCCCAAATATGGGGACATACAATATAACAAAGGAGAAGAGGGCAATGCCATGTGGAATCCCTTTTTACTTTTCCTTTTAGGGACTAATCTATGAACGTCTTCAGAATGAAACTTACCATCCCTTTGGTCCTCTTAAAGCCAGTAGAGTAAATTATAGCCCACCTTATTGCTGAAATAGGTAATGGACCCCAAAGGATCCTACAGTTTCTCTAGAGTAGTGGTTCTGAAGTGTAGTTCCTGGATGCAACAACATTACGTGGGGACTTGGTAGAAGAGCTAATTCTCTGTCCCCACCTAGACCAATTGAATAAAAAATTCTGGGGGTGGGGCCCAAAAATGCTTATGAATCAGATGCCCATTAAAGGTTGAGGGCTTGTTAAAGCACAGGTTGATAGTTCCCTGACAGAGTTTTAAATTCGGTTGGTCTGAGGTGGGGTCTGCATTTTTGTATATCTAAAAATTCCCAGATGATACTAATGCAGCTGATCCAGGGACCATATTTTGAGGACCATTTCTCTAGTAGAAACCTGCCTGATAGAGCTAATTGCACCTAAGGTGTTCATTGAAACAAATTCGTTCACTTAGTGATCCACTGATCTCGAATCAAAAATATTTTAAAAAATACAATTTAGATCTCTGAAAACTGGAACCACCCAGAGCATCATCTTGATAGTGTTACTTCGGCATATGACTGACTGATTGTATAAGGGAATTTAGTTGACTTTTCCCTATAACCTTATCATATTTTAAAAAGTAAAAAAATAAAAGTGGTCTACTTAAAGCAGCAAGGACAAAGGGCAGTTTAGGAAGAGGCAAGGTGAAGGGAATAGCTCGACGGGGCATCCAGGGTGAAAAAAGGATTATTATTGTATATAATAGCAGTTCTGGCTGGAATTCCAATCCACTTACTGAGGATCATTTTGATGTTGAATGTTCCCCAAAGCATTCTGACAAGTTGGTCCACTTGGCTCTTTACCCTGGGTAATAAGACCCTTATTGACTTCGAAAAACTGGCATAAGTGAGCTTAAGAAATCCATTGTATACAGTCCTAGTGTTTGCCTTCTTGGTAAAATTACATTTAAGGATGTCATTTCATGAGTCAAATTGTATCTGCTGACACTGAAGTGTATTGAGATGTTGTTCTTTAGTTTAAATATGTAACAAAGTAATATTCAAAGGGGATGTGTGGGGGTGGGGCTGGGACCGGGTGGCTTTATATTGATAATGAAATATTCCAGAGCAAAACACATTGTCCTAATGAAGTTGTTGCAGCTCTCTTTGTTTTCTTGTGAGGCTGGAATTGGCCTGTGGGTCACTTGTTGTGCAAAAGTGAATTAATTTCAAATAGGAGTCATATTGCTTTTGTGAAACAAAATCTACCACCTTGTCTGAAATATAGATTGGAAGGCGCTCTTGGTAAAGAATAACCCACAAACACCTGATCTTGATTGGAAAGCATTGTAGGTCATTAGGGAAAACGAATGATGCCGACTGTTGCTCCAGCTGTGTTGGCAATTCAAGATGACCTTGTTACTAACCGAAAGTTGCTGTCAACCTTAGCAAAAAAACCAGCTAACACCATTACAGCACTGGTTAGGTAGTTTTTTACTGGCACTGGCTGGCGTTCAGCTGAGGAAGGCTAGGATACAGACTTTAATGACCAAGAGCCAGACTAGCTCAAGCTAGAAATTCAGCAACAAATACCTCCTTGTGCTATTTGAATGCTAAGGTATTAGTTGCAAAAGGCTTACGCCTTCGCTCCTCTAGTGAGGGGAATGAGCCTGATGACACTATTACTGTTTACCTGTCAAACCGGGGTGGAAATTTAGAGGGATGCAAGTACAGTATGTCTCATTAAGCAGTCTGTTGCTAATTATATGAAGATGAAGTTGTTGTATATGCTGATCTGTATGTTATGTACATTTTCACAGTGATTGAATCATTGTAAAAAGAAAAAAGACAAAAAAGAATCACCACTGTCTATTTTATGAAGATGATAAAGCAGCTTTATTAAATTATTACAGTTATGTTTTAAATGGTGTTATCTGCCACATTGTTTCCTTTTATCTGGTGGTTCTCTGTTTCCCCCTTTAAATGTGTTTTCTCTGCTTCAAAAATTTAATGCATTTTAGTATTAAAGGCTATTATGGAAAAATTATTGAGTGTTTGGTCGAATGTGTTTCGGAGAGTGTTTGTTGGCTCACGGGGGGCTACTCTTAGACCTAAGAGGTCA